GCCCTCAGCTTCATGGATGGAGCCAGTGGCTTGCATTGCTCTTACCACATCATTGTGGATGGTTACTGGGTGATAATGAGTTGAAGGGCTTTGAATGTTTGAACCAGCCAACAGGGTGACTGGATCATTCACCCAGACTCATATCTATCCCTGCACAAAGGGCCCAGGCAGCACCTAGGTGTCACTTAAATCTTCAAATTAGATCTTATATTGTGCCTAGTCCTTGCACTGGGTCTCTGCACAGATGGTTATTTTCCTCAAGGCCTTTATTTACTTGAGAAATAATACATTTTGATACAATGCTTTTGTGGGCTTGTGCCTTCCTCACCTACATGGCTTGTGCCCATGAACTACAGTTGTTCCTGAGTTAATCAAGAGATTTGGAGTATGTGAAAGCAGACTCTTAGCCCTCCTAGATTCAAGTTATGCGGAACACTGTAATTAAACAATGATTAATCATCTAGGCATGGTTAAATACGTGGCTTGGATAAAAAAAAAATACATGGTAAATGAATCGGTCCTGTGAATAAGGTGGGCAATAATGAGATTGGTACAAATAAGGTTACAGCTATTGGCTGAGCTACCAAAAGCTCTCATTTTATCCTCCAAGATTCACTGCCAAGCTAGATTGCTTTTTCCAACTACACTCTCCTTTTGGGGATGCAGCATAGGTCTGTAACTCCCTCAGAACAATTTCCGGGGAAGATCTGCATTTCCGCTTCCTAGTTAGCATCAAGAGGTGCAGAAGGTGCTCTCTAATAGCTATGTAACAGATTGATGAAAAATATTTGAACCTCAAAAAAAAACGAAGTTTGAGTGTAGAGTAAAAGTCTGGTTGGCTTTTTTTTTTAAATCCGAACAGGCTAATCTAATGGCTGACCCTGCCCCTTTTATGAATGCCAAGTAAAATCTTACTCTGTGAATTGACCCACTGATTTCAGTGGGACTACTTGTGGAGAGAGGTGCTATTTTAATCTGAGTTAGGGTGGCAAAATCAGGCTCCTCAGTGAAATGCTTGTGTAGTACTGATTGGCTTTCTTTCAAGGGTGGCCTTGACAAAAAATGCAGCATGAGTCCCAGTATGAACTGACAGCATGACAAATCTGGAGCTAGCATGATCTTCAAACTGGGCATTATTGTACAACATTTCCATTTCTTTTTAGTGGGAGAGACATGCAAGTTTCCCACACCCTTGGTCTTTTTCTCTCTCTCTCTCAGTGTCTGTGTGCGCACGTGTGTGGAAAAAACTGAAAAAGTGTAGATATATCTGTGTGTGTTTATATATAGGTTAAAAATAATATGAATAATGTAAAATTGGCTTTCTCCGTTTCTGCAGAGTATAGTTCTGCTGCTAGAGATGGATCGCTGATCTTCCAGGGAATTGTGCTCTACAAGGTTAAGCATGTTTGCAGAAGAAATATGGATAATGCTGTTATCATGTGTGACCTTTACTATATGTGTAACATTGTCAGTGACAAAAATGCCATTTTTTAAATGGTTTTCACACCATGGTATCCAGCCATTAATCATGATGTATGTGAGTGACTATATTGTTTCTCTGAAATTGTGGTATTAGATTACTTTCCATGTCAGCTGCTCACATGCGCTGTACCCCTGTTATCAAGAGCAAGGTTCTTATTTTCCATGCTTAATGTAATACTGGCCCTGCATTTACCCAAAGGGCTAAGAAGAAACCTACACGGCACAAAGATTGCTGCTCTTTTCTCCTTCCACAGCAGACAATCTGTGTGTGTATAAACAGTGCACTTACTTTAAGATGTCTCTCTAATCCTGGAGTTGATGAATGACTCTTTCAGCTGCCTCTGCTGATGTTGCATTTTTATGTAAACAAACTAACTCTGGCTCTAATCCCCCACAGCCATGGTTTGGCCATCTTTGCTCTTCTTGGGGTGATGGTTCATTTTGCCTCGTGTAATTTGAAAGCTTTTATTTCTGAAGCGTATTTTGATTTACAGAACAGAAAACAGATATGATGGGTTTTTTTGGGGGGGGGGGTTACAAGACACAAAGGGATAAAAGGTGTAAATGCTATTTCTACTCACATGTCTCTATTTCTTAGTCCTTTTGGCTTGAAGAAAGTGTTAAGATGCAATAAAACAGAGGTGTCAAACTCATTCCCCCTCATTCTGTGTTTAATTGTGGTCCTTTGGGTGCACTATAAATTCAGGACTCTTTGCTTATCCCATGTAAAGTGGAATGCCACCAGTGCCACAAGATGGCTTGCTCAGAGATCAAAGGGAAAATACAGCTATCATGCAGTAACTGAAAGTTTATTTATTGTTGGTTTAGTACCTCACTGTGCATTTGTCACTTGGGGAGAAAGTCTGCCCCTTGCTAGATGCTTGCTATCCTGCCCTATGTTTATAATGATAATAATAATTGTAGTGCTGAATCATAAATGCAAAAAGAATAGAGATGGTAAAGACCCATCCTCTCACTCCTTCCAGCCACTCTCAGCCTCCATTCGTCCCTGCAGACTACTCTAAATAATCCCATTCCTATGTCTGCTCCATTCAGTTATTTAAGCCACTCTAAATTGTTCTCAACTCTTCCCGGGGTGCTGCAGTGTAGGATCTGCCACTGCCACCATGGCAGCTAGGTAGCATATGTGGTGCACAGCCAGACTGGGAAGGAATACAGCATGTCCACACTTGTTAGGGTTCTCAGATAAACCTAAGCGAGGAAGAAGAGTGGCTCGTGGCCCTTCCTGATCTGCTCCTCCTGGAAATACAGGAATGCAGAATAGTTCCCACCTGCCCTTTACACCTCTCTTTCCAGGAGATACCTTTCAGGATCAAACCAGGAAGGGCTGCAATGCAAGCTCCTCTCCTGCCTAATAGGCTTATCAGAGAAGGCTAATATAACCTGGGCGGTACTCCAAGAGGTACCCCCTCTCCAACTGAAAGGATCAAAGCAGGTGCACAAGCGCTGTGGGAGGTGTAGGGACTCTCCTCCCCTACAGAGCAGAGCCAGACTACCAATGGGGACTTAACCATATACCTTTTAATACTGGGAACATAACAGGCATAAATCAGAGGGTATAGTGGACACTACAGTGCCCCAAGGGGGCAGGATTCAACAAAGGTTAGACACTTAACAATCACTGACAAAAAACAGGGTTAACAAAATATAAAACACAAACAGCAGAACAAACTATACGGGTTGGTGAAATATAAAAAGGCGCAAAATGTCAAATGACAAGGAAATATAGGGCCTTGGTATCTTTGCCAAAGATTCGGAGAGCTTTGAATGAATTTGGACCTTTTAATTGGTCCCCTGATTCGATTTGGATTTGGAGATTCAGTCACCTAATCAAGCCGAATCTTCTCTGAATCAAATCACCACCTGAAGCTTCGCACAGCCCTAGTATACACATGCTGCAGCCCTTCCCAGTCTGGCTGTGTATGAGGTATGCATGCATGGCAATTTTACCTGATGCCAGCAGCGGCACTCAGTTGAGAACCACTGAGCGAAGCTGAGGCAGCACAACTTGTCCTTCTCTTTCTCTCTTGTTTATGTTGCTCACCATAATAATAAGCATCAGAAAATGATTTGGGCCCTTCATACACACACATAGTCACCTTGCATAGGATGGATTCAGAGGATGCTAGGAGGCAAGAGACCCCTTACTCTCAGCCCATGTCTCTTTGGAAAGGTTCATGATGGAGGGGTTACTCCATGTTCCATGCTGTGCGGTGAGTCAAACTCAGCTAAGTAACTAAATAAAGATGTAATTTTAATGATGATTAAATTGAAGCACCTCATTAATTTCATGTGAGAGGTGGGGAAGTACACGGCAGTTCTTTCCCTAAATTCATTGTTTGTCTGGCCGCAAGACATCTCCTCAATGTCTGGTTGAGTCTAATTTAAGTATGTAAATTTAATGGTTCAGTAAGTAAAATTGCCTTTATTGTTTGGAATGGTTTGCACAGTAATTTATGAGCTAGTAAGGCTCATTTGATAGGACTGTATGATGAAATAGGTGACTACAATGAAGGACATGTTTATCTTAAGGATACACAGGAGGAATTTGGACACCTGGCATTCATAATCAGAAACAAGTGATGATGGTGTTGGTATAAGACTCAGATATGACTTGAGTCTACAGGATGAACAGGTCATGGTTTAAAATCTCAGCCTTTGTCCAAACTAGTGCATTGGCTGGAATCATTCATCCTATTTGAATTTCATCATTGGTAACCTCATCAATTCTATGGGCATAAACAGGACTGAAGTCGTGTGTAGGCCTGGTACTAGTTTTCTGCACAGCAGGAATTTCATCTTCAGTGGTTTGGCCTGTAGAGTTTCAGTCTCTTAACATAATACTAAATGAGAGGAAAAGACCTGTTAGTCAGAGCTTGGTGATGCAGTCAGCTGTGCTCATGTTATTTCCCCTGTGGTAATTTCACTGGAAAGTTTTTCTTTTGTTGGAATGGATAATAATATTACTCAACAGTTATTCTTCGTGAACGATAGGCCAATCATTCTATATTTAGAGGTGTCTCTCCTTTAGTACAACTAGGAGAGAGCTCTGTCCAACCTGGGTTTGGCTTCCTAGTTATTTATCTTGGAAAAAAAAGATTGAGATGTCCATTGTTGGTTGCCTCTACGACCTCTCACAACCTTCCTACTATTCATTCTAGCCCCACATAATTGCCTCTTCAGAAGGTGCCTTCATATTCTAATTTATTATAGCGTTTCTTACTTAAAATAATTGTATCAAGGATTTTGAAGTGCTTTTCAACATTAATTCTCATAACACACTTTTGTGCTGGGACACTAATATACTTATTTAATAGATAGAAACATTTTGGCACAAAGGAAGTCTCTTGGCTTGTCCAACATCATCCAGCCAGATAGCGGCAGGGTTAAGAACAGAACGTGGCTATCAGATTCCTAGTCTCCTGTTCTTAAGTCTTAGCAACACCCTTGCTATCCACCATCTTTAAAGAGCATATATTTAAAGTAAATATTTTTTGTATGACTTCTAGCCCAGATGTCAATGTTTCCATGATTAGATAAGCTTGGGATACTTTTGTTTTATACCACATGAGACTTTTACCCCACTCTCTATGCGTCTAAGTGAAAAATTAAGCTGGTAAAATCATATATGCTTTACAATGGCTCAGCTTCTTCCATAATATCTGCTTAGGGGACACAGCAATCAGGTAATATAAGCATGAGAAAAGGAAACGTGAAAATCAGCACACTCTCTTCATAAGGGAAAATAAACACATGACAATACAATCATACACATATAGCACAGAAACCCTACTTACAAAAATCAGGCACTTGCCCTTGTACTTAAAATAGTCAAGATGGAGCTGAATGGTATCCTCAATTCATTAAGCATGCAGAAGCCTTCACATCTAGGTGTCTGGTTTCAATCCGAGTCTTCTGGAAAGCTGTTCATGAGCTTTTGAGACTTGAGTAAGAAACTCTCCAGCCTGTTCTCATTGGGAAGAGATCCACCTCCTCGACTCCGCTCTCAGAGTAGAGACCTTGTAGATGTTCTCATTCTATGGACCAAGTACAAAGTTTGAACTAAGTGCCTCCTCTCTGTCAGGACCTTGTCTGCACCAGGAATATGTGTAGATGGGATTTTTCCTGTTAGCACTGGTATCACCCATTTTAGAAGCTGCAGAAAGCATGGTGGTGTTACATTTCTCTAGGGCATTCTACAGCTCTCACTCTTGGTTGTACCAGCACAGAAAAATACTTCTACATTTTCTTAATCAGTACAAACTCTAGCAATGGCACTTCTGGTACATCTTTGATGGGTGGAGAATGGACACTGTAGTCAAGCTTGCACGCACTGCTCTCTGTTACTGCAGCTGCTTCAGGGGGAAACAAAACCAAATTTCCAGTGCTGTCAACTTAGCACCTTGAATCAGCAATAAGAAAGATGCAGCTGAAAATATTTCTGTGTGATGTTTATTCCAGAGGCAGGAAGCAGAAACAGAGAACATGTTGACCTGCTTCACCCTTCAAGTATCTTGTAGACTATACAAGGAAGTCAGAGATTGCCACTTTAGACTCTAGAAGTCAGATACCATCATATTTGTTCTGCCTGTAACCTATTCATCACTGTTTGGATGCAACCACTGGAGCTAGTTGGTTATAATTAACTCTGTATCTGCTACATTTCAGTGGCAGAACGTCAGTATGCAGAACATCCATTATTGTCCCTTTTGTGTTGAGACCTGAGCATTTTATTTTCCCAAGTCAAAAGTGTGTAGTGGAGTGTGACAAGGTAGGAAGAAGATTGGGGAATGTGGAAAACAGGCAGAAGCAAGTTAGAAGGATAATTAACAAAAAGGAAATCTAATCAAAGTGCATGTCATGTTTTTAGTGTATACTGTTCCTCAGGTCACATACAGCACACAGCAGATGGCAAAGAAAAGTCATCTTTTAAATATTTCCAGTATGTTGCAGAAGGCTTCCTGAGAAGTGAATAGTGATCCATCAGCAACTTGCAACTTCATCCGTAAAGGCAGAAGCAGAGAAACAAGGGAAGACAGAACTCCTTTCAGTCTTTCACAGTCCTCCAAAGTCTAAAGGAGTGGTAGGACTGAATGTTATTCTTGTGTAACAGAAGAAGGGCCTTGATGGGAAGAGTTGGTTTCTATCATATGTTGTATACTGATATGATTATTAAAGTGATTTGGTGCATAGGTGCATAAGGTGCTATCATTTGAAAAGCATGGAGATAATTTCTGGAACTCTTATTTTTGATGATTTAAGCATCTTCTGGGTGGCAGATGCTGTTCATGAGGGCATCAGAATCAGGGGCCAGGTTTGATCAGAAAAGGGTTTGTGAGAAAAGGAATTAGAGTATTCTTTTATTTTTATAGATATCAGTGCCAAAGCAAATAAAGCAAAAGCTATGATTACTAAATAAAGAAAGCCATTTGATAAAGATCCACAACAATTACCTTGATTTAAAGAAGAGGCCAGAGGAGTAGAATAAAATAAATTATTGAGGGGGGTTAGGATTAGGATATCCATAGATTTTAATAAAGAAGACAGAAAATGGAGAGTACCAGGGATAGGACCTGTGACCAGCTTCTAGCAAGCTAGTGAGGTCCTACCCCAAGCAGATAGATCTGATGTGCACATTCTGCAGAGGATCTGTCCTACGTACTAAAACTGGGAGAGAGACTAGAGCCCACCTCAGTACAAAACTTCTTTAATGCTTCTTCATTAAAATGAAGCTATCAGTGTTGGCCGTCCAATTAAATAGATGGCCTTTTAATAGCAATCTGAGGTCAACTACAAAAGTTTCTTTCTTCCTTCATTTTTCTCTGTGTTTTGTTTTGATTTTAATTCCAAATAATAGGGATTTTTCTTGTAGAGATGACTAAAACTGTTGCCTTTTCCAGGCTTTGCACATGGCTTCCAGGATTAGGAGAGCCATGTGCAAAGCCTGGAAAAGGCAACAGCGTGAAAACACAACTTAAACCGACTAATATATTTATATTGTACAAGCTAAAATAAATGCACATGCGAAATAAAAAAGAGCATCAGTGGTGATGGTGAAAAATTAAATTGCTCTGTAGTTCTTTTGGTGTAAAGAATTTGAGATATTCGTTACATAACTAGAGGACATTTTTAATTTTCTGGATTTCAACCTGACACCACACCTTTAAAAGTACAGTAAGCTTTACATAGTTGAATTTTTTCATGATCAGACTAACATTCGTTGAAATAAATCCATTTTTCTTTTGATCTCTTGGCTGCATTTTCTCCCCCAAGATACAAATATCTTTATATTAATATGAATCTACTGCCCAACAACCACTAAATGTGCATTGAAACCTTTTGCATATGTTTGAATTACTATACCAGTTTAATGTCATGACCACTGATAAGCAGGGTCAGGGCCTTTCTTCAGTAAGTGTTGCTGAACCTATTAGACTCTAACAGACTTAAAACAATTGATATTTATGGTGCCACCTTAGTCAGTTGGATTCCTTCATTACACCGATATTGATTTTAGAGTCCCCAGATTCTAGTATGGTTCAACTACAAGATTATTCAAAGTTTTGTCTGGCAAATCTAAATCTGCTCAGCTTAATTCTTTCTTGCACAATTTGTTTTCTGTCCTGGAAGGAAGTAGCTAAACATTTAGCAACCAAAATGTTGGACTCATGGGGATGCAACATTAGGAACATGCAACTGAGCAGAATGGCACAGTGCTTTTTGTAGGAATGTAGGTCCAGATCCTCAACTGGTAGATTTTTACGAAGAGGAGAAACTAGGAAGAGAAGATCACTGGGCAGTGGATGTTCCTGTTCAATCACAAACTGTTTAGAGATGGTCAAATAGGTGGAGAGAGTTAATTAGCTCATGGAAAAAAAATTATGGCAGCAGTGGACTATCAGACTGGAACTCAAGAGACCCAAGAGCTTTTCTTGGTTTTGCCCATTGTGAAAGCATGTCCTTTGAACATTTTATATATCTGTGTTCCTCTCCAAAATGGGTAATAACACATTCATAAATGTAAAGCATTCAGGATTTATGGATTAACAATACTGGATAAGTGCAAAGCATTATTCATTTTTCATTGGTTGCCTACTTGTGTTCCAGATAATCTAGCGTTTTAGGCTATGCCCATAACTGTGGAATTATCACAACAAGAAGTACAAGTTTTGTATGTTTATGGAGACTTAGGATAAGTCTCCTCAGAAGAGGAGCCAGGAACTGGGTATGCGCAGAAACCAAGCTCCCTGTTACTCTTAAAGGCTGGCTTCTGCATAAAGGTTAAGGTTCAATAGCAGGGCAGTCTGAAGCAATGTGTTGGTGCTACCCCAGCTCTTCTTACTTTGTAGACAGAAGCCTTCAGTCTCTGAATGTGCAAGAAGCTGGCGCATTTTGCAAGTCTGAAATCTGTGGAAAAGACTTACGCTTAGTTCCAGGAGGGCAGTAGGCTGACAGTTTATGTTTGGATGCCTGGTTCTTTATTTGGATGTCTGTTTCCCGCAGAAGTGTGAATCAGAGCAGATTCTGACTCTTAGTTACATAAGATGTATAAAAATAACCAGGGAAGGAGAGGCATTTGAAAACCCAGAAAACCTGACCTATACATGTGTTCTCTGAGCTGAACTCCAGCTGCATTCTTTATTGGGAAGCAGAAATGTCAGTGGCTTTCCTAGTCTTTTGTCCTTCTTTTTAGTCCTTTAAATACTAGATCAGTGATTGGCAAGGTTTTCAGGAGATGGGCCAGAATGACACAGCTCACTAGGACCCAGCCACCACTGCTTCTCCCCCAACACCCAGCTGCAGCACCGGTGAAGTTCCCACCACCCAGCAGCAGTGCATCATGCTGCCCCCCTGCCCCCCAGCCAAACACTGCTGAAACCTTTGTCTCTTCAGGCTAGATCTGGCCTGCAGGCCATATTTGTTACCCCTGTCTCAGGTCTTACATAGGCAAAGAACGGTGATTTAAGTTTGTTAAAGCCTATTGACACAATTGTCCTTGCAAGAGAAAAAAGGAGCTGAGGGGAATAAAAGTACATGAATGGAGAAAGATATGCTATAATTACTGGTCCATTTTTGTTTTGTGATGCCTCCTAGATGCCAATCAGGTGAGAGGGTTATGATGCTGAATCACTGTACAGACAGATGATAGGTAACAGCCCCTGCTACAAAGAGCTTTCAATCTAAAAGGCAAGATAAAGTAGGTGGATGAGACAGATACCTGTACCAGGGTGAAACAAGTAGGAAACAGGGTAACAGACCAGCACAATGAAGTCCAGCCTGGTTGCTGTCTGTAGGTCTTGTGGTACCTAGAAGAAAGTAAATGTCAGTAATGGTAACATAAGTAAGAGATATGCAATTCTTAGCCAATATGAGGCAGTGGTTACAATGCTTAACTAGCTGAGCCTTTATCAGATTGCTGGGGTAGAGACAAATTTTGAGAGGTGATCCAAGGAGGAGGTTTCTATACAGATTTTGATCTAGAGCCATTTCCACTCATAATAGGCAAAGAAAGGGCAAAGTTGCTTGACGAGCAGCATTGAAAGTAATAATGCTTTGCAATACAAATCATGCCATTTATCTATGGGTATAAAGCATGTTGTCAGTTCATATAACACAGTCTCTTTTCCTGAGAAAACTTACCCCACAGGGTACCACCTAATCCATCAATCAGAAATAAATGCATAAACAGCTCAGCTCACACCCAGCAGCCCTTCCCAGACCCTAGAGAGTACTCTGGCTCAGTGCTACAGCCTCTGCCTTGCATCCTTCTACATCTCTCTCACCCTGCAGTTTTTCCCAGACTCTGAGAGAGTATTCTAGCTCAATTCTACAATCTTCTCTCTCAGCTCCCTTCCCTGAGAGCCTTCAAACTACCTCTGGGCCAGCCAATTATCCTTATCATCTGGCCCAGTGCTCCTAGGCAGGCCTGCAGTCACTTGCTTGTCACTTGCTACAGGGCTGCAGCTCCTAAGACATGGAGCCTGCTGCAGGGTGCTTTACAAAGTACTTACAGTGACAAGAGTTATTGTCCATTTTGGATAGATGGAGAAATATAGATCATAGCAATTAAAGGAATTCAACAGGGTGAGTCAGGGGAAGCATGAAGAGATGGAGTCCAGGCCTCCTGTGCCCCAGTCTTTTGCGCTGGTCAACTAGATAGCAGTGTAAAAATAAAGAAACACCCTAAATAAATATTGTACTTTTTAACCAACAGCCAGGAACCATAAAGGCTGCTTGCAGATGTGGAAAACAACCCAAACCAAACCACACTTTACTGGAAGAAAGAGTATGTTAGTTCTACCTGGCTCTGCAGTGTCTGTATAGATCCACTTCAGCAGGGATTTTTAGCACTTTTATCTAATAGCTGATTCAATCAGCTATTAGATTAAAGTGCCAAAAAAGCCCTACTAAAGCGCCCAATCTATACAGACACTGCAGAGCTGGCTTGAACCAACACGTTGCTTCTTCTGGGCATGTGCTAGGTTTGGTATGGGAGCACACCAAGTTTAAAGAACAGCACACCTTATTTGTTTTTTTTTTCACATCTGCAAGCAGCCATAATCATTAAATGCTGCTTCTTTTTATTCCACTTACTTTAATGTACAAAGTGTAATTGCAGCCTCTTCTTCTCTAACTTCCAGTAGATTATAATTGACAATCAAGATGAAAAATGCCATAATTTAAGTATGTCCCAGTCTGGCAAGGAAGTCCATGTTGTCTTTAAAGGGAAGAAGTGGAGAGTGATTTAGTGCTATCACCATTAAATTATCTTTAACTCAGTAAGCAGGTGTCAGCATAAGGGGACTGAACAGTCAGCCCTTGTATCCTTAACATGAAGTTGCTGCCACTTCAAGAGATGGCTGTGTGTGAAGTTGTTTGTCCAAAGTGGGCAGTGTCCAGACTGAATGGTTGTTGCTAGTACAATAATTTTTATTCAGTAATTCTTGGGAGAAGAGGTCAAGATGTAGAGGGTAAATTCATGCATAAAAAAATTTTGCTTTTACAGAGTTGGGGTTTTCTAGCTTTTTTAACACGTGTACCCCTTCAGTCTCAAAGTTTTAACTCATGTACCCCGTTATATTTTTTTCTTGTTTTTAAAGGAGGAGAGGGGCAGATAGAGGCCCTGTGGTGAGAAAGGGAGTGGGGCTGGGGCAGGTGCTGCATAGGTGAAAAGAGAAAATAAAGTATAAGGGGGGGGGACTGAACACGTGTGTGTGCACCCCCCCAGCAGGTAAGTTTGTGGGGTAAAGGGGCAAGGGGAGGGAAAAGGGCCATGGGGGGCTCTGCTTGTCCCACCACTTGGCCTGGCCAGGGTCCCAGTCACCCCAGCCCCTGCTCCTGCTGCACCCCCTCCCTCACCGCAGGCACCTTGATCTGCCCCCCACCTGCATGGCAGTGAGTGGGCAATGGGGCTGGGGCTTGAGACACCCACAGTACAGGAGGGAGTGGGGCAGGGGCAGGTGCGAATCACCCCTCCCCCTGCCCTACTCCCTCCTGCACTGTGGGGATTGTCCCACAACCCGGCCTGACCCGGGCCCAATTCACTGTGAATGGGGCCCCAGATGGGCTGGGTTGTGGGACAATCGGAGCCTGGAGGCTTGTCCAGGGGCACGGCATTGGGGCGTTGTCACAGGGCACTAAGGTGCCTGCTGCTAGAAGAGCAGAAACTGCCTGGGGAGAGCCCAAAGAGACAAGCAGAAGCCCAGGTGCAGGTTACCAGGGCAACAGGCTAGCGAGCAAATTAGCCTGCACCTGGTCAGCTGACCAGATGAGGCAGGGCCCTGGGCCCATATAAACCCCAGGGTGGAACTAGGGAGGGCAGTTCTCTGCCAGCGGCCAAGGGGGGAAGAGCCCTCCTAGAGGAAGTGAAGGGAAGAGGCCTGACTAAGTTCTGCTCCTGGTAATGTTAAGGAGCAGAGCACACCTTACGTAACTTGCGTTATGGTATAGCCTAGGGGCTTGCATTTTTCAGTTTTGTTTATAAGACTGGTGGTTTGGGTGAAGCTATTGGGGAAGGACGAGGCCTCATTAGGGGCCCAGTACAGTGTGGGGACCCCAGTGCCAGTGTGGGCACGGTATACGGGGTGCACTGGCGCCAGCACCAGAGGTCGCAGTGTTTGGGGGGGGGGTGAACAGACCCCGGCGCCAGCGTGGGTGCAGAGACCGGGACAGGGCCATGGGGAGCCCTGTAATGACCTGAGGGCTGAGTGAAACCAAGCCCTTGGAGGGACGTTGTGTCAATACCACCTGCAAGGCTTGGGGCATGGTAAAGGCAAGGTTTGGAGCCATGCATATAGCCCATAAGGCTGGGGTGTCCCGAGACATCCATTGTGAAATGGGACCCACAAGGGGTCTGGGGACCCACAGGGTTCAGAGGGTCTATCAGAATCATGTTCAAGTAGCCTTGAAGGCAGCCTCCCTATTTTTTATAATTACATCACAATATGGCAGGTGAGAATAGAGGGTGCCCATTGGGTCAAATTGGCATGGTTGAGGGGCCTTAGGGGTAACATGGCCATCCTTGGGACCCCATCCCATGACAGATGTGAGATGTGGCATGTGAGGCATGGAATAGGGGTGCAGCATGTGCCCCCCCCGGCTCCCCCACAGTATGTGCAGTGGTGAGAGCCTCCTGCCTGCACCCCCTCAACAAGCTGGCAGCAGTGGCACTGGGAGTGGGGCTACAGGAGGGGCTGCAGCCACCCCAAAATTTGCTGTAGCTCCCCCAACCCTCTCCCAGCACAGCCTGGCCCAGCACCCCACTGGGAACAGCCCGGTGCTGCCCTGGCCCCAACCTGCAATGGCCCACAGCCTGCCCTGCCCTGCCCAGCATGCTGATCTCACCCGCACCCCACCCCCCACCATTCAGACCCTCGCAGCTCTGCTGCAGGAGTAGCAGCCAATCAGGACCATGAGCTGGGGTGGGGGTCAGGGAGCTGCTGCAGTGTGCTGCATGGGGCTGGCAGTGCCCAAGCTACCTTCCCCCTCCCCTGGGTAAGAGGCAAATATGCATCCCTGCCCACCCACTCACCTGCACGTACCCTCTACAACCTTTCTAAGTACCCCTGGGGGTACATGTACCCCCAGTTGACAACCCCTGTCCAGCTCATATGATGAACTGAGACAAGTGAAGTGCAGAGTGTTCCAAGTCCTAGTTTGATTCAGATGCATCTCAGGGCTTTGCTTCACCTTACGGTGAGCCACAAAAATATTGCTTGGTGTTAGTGCTAGCTTGGGGTTTAGACCAGTCACACCCTTAGTCTAGAAACCTTCTATTACTGTCTTCTACCTGCACAGCTCTGACTTGTCACTAGAGGCCTGGTGAGCAGGGGCAAACCTAGGAGCTGTAGCTGTGAACTGCCACTAGAGGGCTGGTGAACCAGAGCAGGCTTCTATCCCTGCTCTATGGTTGCAGGTGTGAGAGATACTGGGATACTGGAGGATTTTAGCCTGGGCAGCACATCTGTGGAGAGTAGCCCCACCTTAATGGAACAGGAGCTGCACAGTGCAGATCAGAGATAATCCTGCCCTGGAGTGACTTAACTTTGAGCCGCATAATGAGTACTTACAACTAGGCTTGCGTGAGTCGGCAGTGATCCCATCCGGCTTCGGATCTGGGTTTGCACCTCAATCTAGCTGAAGCGGCTCCAAAGCTTCAGAGCTGCCTCGGAGATCTGGCCATAGGGTATAATGGGGAATCAATGAAATATCTATAACTTTGTTGTTTTTTGTCCTATTTGGATGAAACTTATAGGGATGGTAGCCTCTGCTGACAGCATGAAACCTGCCAAGTTTCTTGGGGCAATTGATTGTCTGTATTTATTCTTTCCTCTCCTTAGCCTTGTTTTGTAAGTGCTAATTGATAGCAATGAACTGGCTACATTACCTAGGTCCTGTGTACTGAGCTGGTGGCTGAGTGAATCATGACTGATTGGTAACTGGTAACACAGTAGCTTTAGCAGCCAGGCCTGCAATAGTGTCTCCCACGCCCCAAGCCCAAGACAGTCAGTCCCACAAGCACCCATGGCACGAGTTTTGTCTGTCAGCAGCTAGGGATGCAGGGACCCAGAACCCCCATGTACCGATCTCCTTCAAAGCTGGCAGGCTTCGTGGCTGCAGCAGGGGCCACCATCCCTGCAGCTGTCACCCTGCTGCGCCTTAACACACAGTGTCACCCATGACACGAGTTTTGCTTGTCCACAGCTTGAGGAGCCGTTCCCCCAAACCCCTGCATTGATCTCCTTGAAACTTGGCAGGCTTTGTGGCCTCAGTAAGAGTTACCACCCCTTCAGTTTTGACCCCCCTGTGACGTAACACGTAGATGTGACAGGAGTTTTGTTTTCAAGAATTTGGGGTGCAGTTCCCCCCCAAACCCCTGCATTGATCTTCTTGAAACTTGGCAGGCTTCATGCTCTCATTAGAGGCTACCATGCCTGAAAATTTCATCCAAATTGGACAAAAACAACAAAATTATAGGTATTTTATTGTTTTCCCATTATACCCTATGGCCGGACCTCCGAGGCAGCTGCGAAGCTCTTTGGGAGCTCCGAACCACTTCGGGAAGCCTAATGAAGCCAACACCTCCACCTGGATGTGCTGCTTTGGACCCCAAAGCGTCCAAAGCTTCTCCAGATCCGAAGCTCTGTCCAAAGCATCACACAGCCCTACTTAAAACCACTTTAAACTGTTAATGTGCGAACAGTCCAGGGGTTAAGAGCTCCATGAGCCACCCAGAATTACCATTTAACCAGACCCTCAGGTCTGCAACACTGTTCTGGAAACCTCCTGGGAAACATAACCCATGAGAGTCCTGATGCATTTGTTTCCTTTCCTTTATTACCTGTGTGGGTTTTAATGTGGCACATGTCTTCATAGTATCTGGCATCTGCACAGCTCCAGATGCCAGATTCTGATCAGAACTCAGAAAGGAGGTCTAAATGCAACTCCAGAACTCCTCCATGAGGTCAGGGAAAGAAGGGTCATATTGCCCATTTTACAGACATACATAGGCAGTTTAAGTGATTACCCAAGCTCCCACAGGAAGATGCCAGAGATATATATTTAATTCAAGTCTTTTCCATTCCAGCTGAGAAACCTAAATTTGATATCTTCTTCCTTCACATAAAATCAAGGTGCAAATCCAAAAGGGAGACATGTCTATTGGATCTTAAGTTTTGTGCTGTAACTTTTAAGGCATCATGATCATTGGCATGTTGTGTATTTTGTGAACTTCTGGGTCCTCTAGGGACAACATTTTTATAAAATCATTTTTTACAAAGGGAAACTTTGAATTCAGTTGTAGGAATTGGAGAGTTTTGGCAAGGTTTTTATTTTATCATCATTGAATGTTTAATTCCTGGGCACAACTGAAAGTGAGTATTTTAGGTCCTCTTTATAGTTTCGCTTTATCCTTTATGTCTATCTACTTGTCCTGCATCCTGAATGATGCCACACTCCTTGTACTAGTCCTTTCTAGAGCAGATAAAATCACAGGCTAATAAATTCTGCCCACCTTTTCTTCTGTGGTATTCAGACACAATACCAAAGGGGATGTTTGCAGAGAAATGTTCAGGGAGTTAGCTGTTGCAGTTTGCACTGACATAAATGGAAGTGATGTAGTTAATGCCCCAAGCCCCCAAACTCATCCACAGCCCTTGCAGAACAACAACACTGGCAAGGATTTTCCCTTTTTATGTTTATCCTCTGGCTTTTCTGTAG